TGTGTGTATGAATATAGTTGTGTGCATACATGCGTAGGTTTTCCTGTATGTACACATGTATGTATATACGTGTATATGCATACATGTACACGTTTGTCAGCAGCATCTATTAACTCTGGACGTGTGATTCCCATGACCCAGCAGCCCCATTCTGAGCACACGGCTTTGAGCCGTTTTCACAGACAGCGCTCCGACAGCAAATGTGGCGATTTCCACCCCAACCAGTTCTCTGGTTCTCCGGCACCAGCTGGGCATCCCACAGTTTGACTTTGACACTAACTCCCTGGCGTCAGCGCAGACCCCACAGACCAAGGGCTCCGTCCCGCGGGGCTGTCCCCACACATCAGATGCCACCACTTCACCAGCTGTAATCGGGGGCTCCCGTGATGCCTTTCTCAGGCTCAGTACTAGCTAGTGCAGCTCACACGTGCAGGCCCACAGTTCACTTGCTATTTGCAGTGTATCCTGAAGGTACAGGATGGAGCCAGCCGACGGCCGGGGTGCACGGCCTTCCCAGCACCTCCACGCGTTCACCCAGCTGGACCCCTTCGGACCTCACAGGCGGGGGTCTCAGGGAGGCTGCATCATACAGGTGATTAAATGATCGGCAGTTAGTGATGAGCTCCCAGGAGCTCCGGATGGGGCCACGCCTTGGTCTTCCTGGGTTCCAGCCCCCACTCTGAAGCTATTTAGGGTTTCCTAACCCCTCCGCCCCCAGCCTCCCAGTAACCACAGCTCCACCGTCTGTCTGTGGCTCTGCTTGCTCTGGACACGTCACGTAAGCGGAACCACTCGCTGTGTGGCCTTTTTACAGCGTCCTCGGGGTTCATGCTGGTGCAGCACGCGTCAGACTCTTCTCCCTTTTTATGGTGGAACCTTGTGGGGCAGGTTCACAGCCCTTGGAGCTCTCCTGCTGAGACTGGACCTGGCCCGGAACGTGGACGGGGAGGACCACCCAGGTTGGCAGCTCTCACGAGCACGGGATCGTCCTCACGAAGTGTCTTCGGCCGCAAAGTCGAGTTGCTCTCCACACCCACCGCCGAATCCGATCGGTTCAGCTGGGGCCTCGCTGGGCACCGGCAGGTGTGCAGTCCAACTGCCCGACGCTGTCTCCAGGCTGCGTCCCGGAAACGTGTGGGCTCGGAGAGCAGAGCGCGCACCCCAGGGCAGGAGGCGTGAGGAGCCTCGATGGCCTGCTCAGTGGCGGGCACCTTCTCCCCAGACCTCTCCGGCATTTCCAGGGCTGGGCTCTTGTGTGTCCCTTCCTGCGTGGCGGGCACTGGGCTGGCCCTGTGTGGGGCTGCCGCGGGCCTCAAACCTCACAGCTGCTGCCCCCAAGTTACCAGGAACAAGAGCCGTGTGGACACGTGCGCAGGGGGCCCGTGTGAGCCTGCATGTGCTGTGTGCGGGGGTGGTGTGCGTGTGACGCGTGTGCAGGAGGCCTGGGCAAGGCCGAGGAGGTGGAGGCCGTGTTTCAGCATCGCCCGAGCCCTCCCCCACCACAGCGAGGAAGAGGGTGGGGTCAGCCGCCCGCGGTCCCGCCCTCCCCGGAAGGGGGTGGGGGTCAGCCGGCCGCGGTCCCACCCTCTCCACGCCCACCGGCCCCGCAGTGGCAGGAGCCCTGTGCCCTCTCCCCGGCCCCGTGGTCATGCTGCCGTCCCTCTGGCTGCCCTGGCCTGTCCCCCGTCACATGGTCAGACCCCAGCAAGCCCAGTCACAGACACGGGGCCTCCAAGGGTCCTGAGACCTCAAGGGCCCTATCTCCCTGGTAGGGGCTGCTCTCCCTGAAATGGTCCCCCAGGGCCCAGGGTGGTCTCTCCTGTGCCGGGGCGGTCACTGCGGCCACCCAGACCCAGACGCAGCCCCATCCTGCCGGTCGTGTCACTGCCCTCAGGGGCCCCAGAAACCCGGGCGTTCCTGGACTTAACATTCTCACCACCGTCATGGCCGCAGCTCAGCTGGGCCCATGTGCCCACCCGGCCAGGAGTGAGCATCCCACGGCCGGGGTCGGGGCCTGGCCTGCAGCCCTCGCCCACGTCTGGCGCTGCTGGCATGCAGCCACCACACTGCCCCGCCTGCAGAGGGGCTGGTTGAGAGAATCGCGGGGCTGAGCCCCCCAGAGGGGTGGGGTCTTCCGACACCTTCACGCCTCTAAAGGCTCAGGTGCCAGTGAGTCTGTGTCCAGGGACTGGATGGACTTACCCTTGTCCCTGGCCCCAGGCCCCCGCTTTCAACTTTACAGGGTTTCTGCTTGTCAGAGGGCAGAGGTGGGGTTCCAGGTGACACTGACCCGTCCTGGGGACAGGCTGGTAACTGAGCCGCCCAGAGTGCAGGGAGGGAAGTCCAGCCAGCCTCAGAGAGAGGCGGCAGGTGGCATGGGCGGAGGGCGTGACCTGGGCAGACAGCCGGCAGGGCAGCTGTGGCGACACTCGGGCCAGCGGGGGTGGGGGTGGGGCGCCTGCAGTGACCCTGCAAAGCTACGCAGTGACCTTGGCCAAAAGCGAGCCATCTGGCCTTGCTGGGCGGGGCTACCGCTCCACACCCTCCCACGGGACCGGCAGAGAGCCGGTCTGGAGGGCGGGGCCAGGCCGGAGGGCGGGGCCAGGGAAGGGCGGGGCTGGAGGGACACCCGGCCGACTCCCAGCGCTGCCAGTCACTGGTGGGCGGGGCCTGGCAGCTCAGAGTCAGAAGCTGCTCTTCGCACAGGCCCTTTGGTCTTCCCACCGCGACCCGCGGGGCAGCCGCTGGCCAGACCCTACGCTTCCCGCGTCCCTCTCTGCCCAACCCCGGCTCCATCCCCTCGGGACTGGAGCACCTAGCCACCCCCACCCTTGCAGATCTTCCTGCCCAGCCGACAGTGAACCTCAGGCGCAGCCCACTGACCAGACAGGAGGGGCGTGCGGGTGGCCAGAGGTCTGATGACCCTGCCAAGGGGTCGGCCAGCGTCCTTGAAGCGTCCTCAGTGTCCCCATCTGTGCAGAGGCGCCAAGGAGCACCCCCTGCCCCCTGCAGGGCTGCGCAGGGTTAAGGAGAAGGCCGCTCTCTGCCTGCGCCCGGGGCCGGACCCCACCCAGCTGCTTTCCCCTGCTTGGCCCGGCCCCCGGCCAACGTGGGCTTAGACCTGCCTCTCAGGATGACCCCTGTCCATGGAGAACACCATGTGTCAGCGGGGGAAGGACGGAGGAAGGAACAAGGCAGGACAGAGAGAGACCCGTGAACCACCACACAGTACCAGTCCACAGAGGAGAGGCCCATCCTCAGGAAGGAAGGAAGGATGCACCCACAACCACAAGCTCTCGGTCAGAGACACAGCCACCCTCACGCCCACCTCCTCTCACCATCTATCCACCTGTCCACCTCGAGCCCTCCACTGATCCCTCCCTCTGTGCGTCCATCCACTCGGGTCCACCCCCTGCCCCCAGCAGGCAGGTGTTCACGGCCTCCTCTGTGACTGCTGCCAGCTGGGGTCTGGGGCAGAGCAGTGGGCAAAGCAGACTTGTGCTTGGACAGCCTGAGCTGTTGGAGAGTCAGATACACAGAGGGACATTAAGCCGTGACCGCAGGAGGCTGTCACAGGTGGTGCCGCTGGGGTCTATTACGGGGTCAATCCAGGTCATCACTGAGGGCGTCCGTCCCAGAACCCGCCTGGTTTCTGCGACACCCTGCTCGGTGGATGTGTCTGTGGGACCCGGCTTCACCGCCCAGGGATGCTGGAAGGGCTGCCTTCAGAGGAGTTTTAAACAAGACCCACCCGGAGTCCTCCTGAGGGTAAATGCGCCTGGAAGCAAAGGTCAGGACAGCAGGGGTCCCTCTGGATGCCTGTTACCCTCTCTTGGGGCCAGTTCCACCCTGACCCTGGGTGCACCGTACATCTCCCTAGCGGTAGATCCCCGGGGGTTGTGACGGGAGGAGACTCAGGAGGGGGCGGTGCCCAGGTGCTTAGACTGGGGCTGGTGTCCTGGCTGGCAGGTCTCTGCCCCTGCAGTGTCCCTGTCCCCACACCCTCGTGGCAGGAGGCGCAGCTCCCCTTCCCCAGACTGGGGTCTCTGTGTCAGGTCCCCCGGGCCTTCAGGGGGCAGAGGGCAGCCTTTGAGGTCCCCCAGCGAGGAGCTGGGAGGATGAGGGGCCTTGTCCTGGGAACCACCCTGTGCCACCCACAGGACATGCAGACACACTCACACCCTCATGCGCACGCCCCTGGTGGGCAGAGGCTGGGCATGGGTGCTCCGAGGGCGGCCCCCACCCCGGGCGCCTTCCCACCTGCCCCAAGGTCGTGGTTGCTCACACTCCTAGGTCCCAGCACAGCACATTTATTTCATGCTGCAAGTGGAGGTGGAGAGAGCGGGGCAGTGAGGCCAGGTCTGGTGGTGGGTGAGGTGAGTTCATCTTTCAGCATTTCCTGGGCAGGACTGACCAGTCTGATGGAGAGACAGAGCCTCGGGACGGAGGCCGGAGGGGACGGGGGCAGAGCCGGGAGGGGGCCAAGGCAGACACAGACGCGCACCCGCACACGCATGCACACACGCGTGCACACACTGACATACATGCACATGTGTGCAGACGCACATACACGAACACAGGTTCACACAGTTGCTTTCAGGAGGGAAAGGGGAGGAGGCAGGTGGGGGGGGCGGGGCTGGGCTGGGGGCCGAGGCACCTCGAGGGGCTGCCCTGCCCTCTGCCTGACCTCCTGGGGGGAAGTGCCCATGGGGCCAGACCCACTGCAGACCCAGGTGGCCAGGCATGGTGGGCGTGTGGTGGGCGTGCACATGCTTGTGAGCGAGTGTGTACCCAAGGGCACCCTCCCTGTGCACATGTGTGTGCGTGGGTGGGTAAGTGGTGTACGTTCAAGTATGAGCTCTGTCTGTGTGTGCATGTGGCTATCACGTGTAAGGGCAGAGGCAGGAAACTCAGGGCCTGATGGTGGGGGGCCTGCGTGAAGAGGGGGTGACCCGGGACTGGGGGTACCTGGGGGAAGGGAGACCCTGGGGGAGGGGGTGGCCCTGGGGAAGGGGACCCAGGTGGGGAGGAGACCAAGGAGCGGTGAGACCCCCAGTATGGACTCAGGCTGAACCCTGGGGTAGCTGGGACCCCACACGTGGGGCTGAGCTGAGCCCCCGTAGGGCTCCAAGGCTCCGGGCAGACCCCACCAGGTGCGGGAGCCCGTTACCTGTCAGGTCCGGGAAGACAATGTTGTCATCTGAGAGGCCCTGAGCCCGGACCAGGCAGATGAACTTGCCCAGCAGCTGGGTCTGAATGGCCCATATTCTGCCTGGGGGCCGAGGAGCACGGCCTGGATTCAGCCACGGCGGGGCGGGGGGCATGTAGACTGGCCTCTCTGCCCCCCACCCACCCCGACCGACCGCGCCGGGGCGAGGGGCTCACACAGCAGGCTGACCCTGAGGATGCTCTGCAGGTCCGACTGCCTCCTGGAGAGCAGGAGGGCGAAGGATGCGTAGTCCGTGTCGGTCACCTGGATCTCCTCGGGGTCCGCCCCGGGCTCTGGGGGTACAGCCTCGTCAGGCCTCCCCGCCAGCACCCCTAGGCTGCCCCCTCCGCCCCCCACCCCCCACCCCTCACCTCCACTGTGATCCACCGAGAACATCCCAGGCTGGGACTTCGAAATAAGCTTGTACGACCAGGTGACACAGCGCTGGCCCCTGGGGAGGGGGATGGGCAGGAAGAAGGCTCCAGAACCTGGCCGGGCCTTTCCCAGGGGCTGCCCCCAGGTGGACCCGCAGGGAGGGCCCACTCACGAGCCCCATGCAGACCTGGGGCTTTGCCCCGTGGAGGGGGGACCTCAGCCCTGGGAGCTCTGATGCGGTGTGGCCCACCCATTTGTGGCCTCCGCCAGGTCCACCCGCTGACCATTCCTCAGCCTGGAACCAGACCCGAAGTGCCCCCGAGGCACATGCTCGAGAGAGGGTGTTCCTGGGCCGTGACGTGGCTGGGAGAGCTCTGGGTGGACCCTGGGCTTGAGCAGGGAGGCAGGACCTGGTACCCTGACCCTGCCAGGTAAGCACACTCGACTGACAGAACAGAAGCGGCTTCCGGGGTGGCGTTTGCACCGGGTCCCTGCCCCCAGTTAACCAGCCCCCCGACGGATCAGGAGTGGGTGAGGATTTGGAGACTCCCCGGTGGGGGTCTGGCGTGGCTGAGCCTGCACGGGAGCCGGGCAGGGGGCTGCTCTGTGCCCTGCTGCTGGCCTCCAGAGCTTCCTGTCTCATCGTGGAACTGAAGAGCCCTAAGCGAAAGAGATCTCCGGGCGGGTGAGCGCGGAAGGCCGCGGGACCTGCTGGAGGAGCCGCGTGGGTCAGGAGGCCCTGGTGGCTTCAGCATCTCCAGAGGGGGCTGTGCCCCCCAGGGCTGTCCATCCAGCGCCCCACTCCTCCCCAGCCGGCCATCCCGGCCCGTCCACCAGGGTGCCTGTCGCCCTGGACGACACAGCAGCGGGTCCAGGGGAACGCAGGGCTCAAGGAGAGTCGATCAGACACCACGGCCAGGCCGGCCTACGTATTTCCTCTGTTCTGGAATTTTGATCCTGAGGAGGACGTCAGTGTAAGCCACTGTCTTATCCCTGTGAGGGGAGAACCTGCCTGGATGGAAGTCTAGGGCAGCCAGAGCTGAGAGAAGGAGAGGGAGGACGGGTGAGGAGTCTCTGATCACAGTGCCTGAGCTCCCCGATTCAGCGGAAACTGACATCCCCCAGCCCTGGGGCTCTCCTAGTCTGTGATCTGGTCAGTGCCTCTCCTCTTTTGAGGACGCCCCCCCAGAGCCGGGTGAGGTTGTTAGCAGCTTGTGCTGGACATCACGTTAGAAGGAAGCCTGGGAGAGTGTGGCCGGAGCCCTTGGCGGACCTGCCACAGAGGCATTGGCTTTTGACGGTTTGGGCCCCAGCCCCTCACTCACCGGATCATGGCGTATGCCACTTCCAAGTGGTTTTTATTTATCGTGAATGTCGCCGTGAAAGGGCTCAGCAGAGACCTGTCTGCTACCGTGTGGGTGTTGCCCGCCAGGCCGAGGACAAACCACTCCCCCTGGAACTGCAAGGGGCTGGGGGTAGGCAGGGGCCAGGATGGCTGCCTGCTGCACTCGGCAACAGCTTCCAGTGTTCGGTCATGCTGACAGGAGGCTGAGAGCACCCCGGGCCCCGCAGGGCCTGTGACGCTGGCCAGGGGGGCCTCTTTGTGCAGAGGCACTGAGATGTTCCCCCCCCAACCCCGCAGGGAGAGGTGGGGACTGTGGGGGAGGCCAGGGGTCTCCATGGCGGGAGTGCCGAGAGGGCTGGCCTGGCGGACTCCCCGCACCCGGGCCTAGTGGGCGCCTCCCGTCCCTCCCCGACCCCGACCTTGCTGTCCTCGAAACTCTGCAGAACGGAGCTGGGGGCCGCCGGGGTGTGTGGGTTCTGGCCCTGGAGGGATCTTGGCAGGTAGAGCAGCACCCACAGGGCCAACCACGGGCCCATCCCAGCAGGGACGGGGCGGGATGCAGCCGTGCTGCCAACCCCAGACTTGCCCACCTCTTTATGGTCCGGACGGGCGGGCGCCCCTCCCTGGAGGTGTGACCCCGCTCCGTCCTCCTCAGGACTGGCTGGGGGTGGGCTCCAGGGGCGGGGCCCAATCAGGCCCTGCCCACCAGAGGTGGGGGCATCGTGGGAAGCCAGTGGGGCAGGTGGGGTGCCCACTGGGTCCAGCCTCCTGGGCCCGGCCGCCCCTTGCCCCCTCCGGGGGCCTCCCCCTGCTGGCCCAGCTGCACCAGGCAGAGGGCAGAATGCTCTGTCCCAGATGGGAGCCTGGAGGTTCAGGGCCAGGACGTTCTCACCCTGGAGCAGGCGGGGCAGCCAGCCCGCAGGCGGCTCCACAGCCCCGAGACCAAAGCGGGGCCAGAACAGGGCCAGGTGGACCTGAGTCACCCCCGGGAGCGGGCAGGGGAGGATGGGGCAGGGGAGGCTGGCCGGCCGCCCCCACACGCTGGCCCTGGGGGCTGGAGGGCAGCTGCGGAGGGCGGGGGCGGCCCCAGACACCCCTGGGGGAAGGACAGGGCCCTCTTCCCCACTCCAGCCAGGCACCGGGTGCTGGGCTCTGTCAGACATGAGAAGGACCTGTGGGCGTCCCCTGAGCTTGCCCTGGGCCACCTCCTCCCACCCTTGGCCTCCGGGCCCAAGGCTTCAGGCCTTGGCTCAGTCCCAGCTGCCTCCTCTCCTCCCGGAAGGGCCTGGCCCTCATTGGGTCCTTCCTCCCAGCTAGACCGGGTGGGGTGGGGGCTCTGGGGGCTGGGCCCCCGCCTTGACCTCCCTGGGCCTGGCCGGTCAGCACAGCTCTTCTGCTTACAGACTGGCCTCGGCGAGAGACGTGCCGGCAACCCGGTGGCGCTCCGGGAGCCCCCACGGGCAGCCCCTGGCCCCCCTGAGAGCGCCCATCCTCCTCCGCAGAGCCCACCTGGTCCAAACCCGGCGAGGTGGCGCCAGGCCCCCTGGGCTGCGGGCATTCTGCTGCGCCCCGCCCACGGGGCCCTCCGGGGAGACGGGCGGTCAGCAGCCTGTCAGAACGGGGCAGCCCGCCCCCCGACGAGTGCCGCCATCGCCCCAGGCCCTGTGCCCACACGCAGGGGCCGGCCCCCCGTCCACCGGAGCTCCTGCGGGGGCAGGGACAGCAGGTGCCCAGCGGGAAGGGCCGAGCCCGGGGAGCGCCCCGTGGTCCAGTGGTTACAGCTCCCGGCTTTCGCGGCCCCAGCCCGGGCTCAGTCCCTGGTCTGGGAGCTCCCACCAGCCGCGTGCCAGAAAACAGAGCGCCGGGTGGGGATGCAGCAGCCTCATCTCTGGGGGCCGGGGGCGTCCGAGTCAGTGTAGCCGGACATGCGTGGCCCATCCAGACTCCCTGACCACGACAGCCAGTCAGAGTTCCCTAAATTTTTCAAGGTTTTTCTTTCTGATAAGATTCTCCGGGCAAGGGTGCTGGAGTGTGTCGCCACACCCTGCTCCAGGGGATCCTCCTGACCCAGGATCCTCGCTCACCCCAGGCCTGAGCGGTGCATCGGCAGGCAGGTTCTTTACCACCCGCTGGGAAGCCCGATGAAAAGCCAACTCTTACAATTAAAAGGCAAGGCTCAGTTATAATCAATAAACACCTTTACACAAAATGGGTCAGTGCTTCCGGAGTGGCGCAGTGAAGAATCCACCTGCCAGTGCAGATGCGTGTTTGATCCCTTGGTCGAGAAGTTCCCCTGAAGAAGGAAGTAGCAGCCCACTGCACCATCTTGCCTGGGACATCCCGTGGGCAGAGGAGCCGGCAGGCTACAGACCGCGGGGTTGCGTGTCCGCGGGGAGCTGGACGTGACTGAGCGCGCGTGGAAAGACGACTCATCTAGAACTATAATTGCCTCACCTAGTTTTTGAAAACAATCGAAAAAAAATTTATTTGGCTGTGCTGCATCTTGTGATACCCAGGATCCTCCGTTTTCGTTGCGGCATGAGGGATCTTTAGTTTCAGCGTGTGGGACCTGGTCCACTGACCAGGGATTGAACCTGGGCCTCCTGGGTCGGAAGGACAGTCTTAGCCACTGGAGCACCAGGAAGTCCCTAGTTTTTGAAAGTTTACAGGAGAAGGGGGCGACAGAGGATGAAGCGGTTGGATGGAATTACCGACTCAACGGACACGAGTTTGACGAGGTGCCCAGCTCGGCGGGGTCCTTGCCCTTCCCCTTCCTGCCAGCTCCACCTGCCTGCCCAGCTGGGAGTCCAGCGCCAAGGGACACGGTCCCTGCCCACTGTGGACAGTGGGCCTTGCAGGGCTGTGGGCTCCTACCAGCAAGCGCCCCCCCGCTGTTTGGACGGGCACGCGGGGCTGGGCCCAGGGGTCTCCGATCCTGCTCTCCAAGGACCAGACGGAGATCCTTCCTGTTCATGGCCTGCGGCTAACCCAGGGCGGCCTGGCCTTCCCCACAGCCCAGGTCCGGATGCTGGTGCGGGGGTCCATCTCTCCAGGCCCAGTCTGCCTCACCAGTGTCGGGGAGTGGCGAGCCTTTGACTTTGGCTCCCAGAGGCAGGGCCCTGGCACACAGGGGGTGTCTCTGAGATGCCCATCGCGCAGACACCGAGGGTCCCTGAACAGAGCGGCTTTGGCCGAGCTGAGGCCCCTCCCTGACCTTGTGCCCCAGCCTGGGGGGCTGCCCCTCCTTATGGGGGGACACAGTGGGAAGGGGCAGGCTGGGCAGTGTGTGCCAGGCACAGCTGTCTGCAATGCCCTGGGGACGACCAGCAGCTGTCACGTGGGCCTGGCTCTCGCCGGCATGGGGTGCTATGTGGGAGAAGGCGGGAGAGAGACGAGGGTGGGGGGGAGAAGGCCAGTTTCCCGTGGGGGCAGGGCAGGGGTCCTGCGACCCATCAGAGCGCGGGCGGGCGGGCCTGGGGGCAGCTGGAACTGGCCCACATCCTCCATGGCTTCACAGGACAGGTCAGGGGGCGAGCTCTCAGCGGTGGGCCTGGAGCTGGGCCCGTGTGGGGAACCCCCGCCAGCAGGCCCGGCGGGGGCGGGGTGGGGATGGAGCAGGTGCGCCATCAGAGCTCCCACCCTTGGGTCTCTGCTTCTCAGGGGTCTGCACTGCGCATTTTTTCTTCGGCGTCCTCTCCGCTGTCAGGGACACGGGTGAGGGATGGGCAGGTCGGCTGGGACCCACGTGTGTGGAGGGCGAACAGTCGGTCGGGGGAGGCCCTGTCTCCATGCTCGACCTTCTGCCAACGGCCTGCGGTCACGTGGAGAAGCCCCTCCAGGCAGAAGCTGCGGGGCGGGGACACCGTCTCCATCTCTTCCCAGACCTCAAGGCTCCCACTTTCCAGAAAGTTCTTCTCTATAGGCCAGAGGTCATCTTGTGGTCTCTCATGGCTGGTGACGGTGGGCAGACCTTGGGTGTGGGCTCCTGGGGGCTACCCCGTCTGTCCAGGGCCCCCCCTCCTGCCCACCCACGTGGTTGCCCCCAGGGGCGCCTGCTGCTCGCCTCCACGCGTGGCCTCGGCCCGGGGGCAGTCCTGTTCACTGGCCAGTCCGGCCCCCTGCCTGGCCCTGTTCGCCCCTGGGGCAGCTGTGAGGGCCACACAACCTCCCAGCCCCCTCAGACGGGTGTCAGCTCACCCCCGACCCGGGAGGTGGGGGGGGCTCCCCGCCTGCCCCCCCGAAGCCGCGTGCTCCTCCCAGGCCCTTTCTGCCTCGGCCACGGGCCCCTGGGCCCCTGGGCCCTGCCTCCCAGGAGGGGGCTCAGGCGGAGGCAAGGGGGACGTGTGGGGAGGGCTCTGGAGAAGGCCGGGGTGTCTGACCAGGCTGCTCAGAACCAGGGAGCAGGAGAGACAGGCGCCAACACCGCGCGGGGGCCAGAGCAGGGGACACTGGGGTCCGAGGGCAGGGTGCCAGGCGCCCCAGGCCTTGGCCAGGAGCCGTTCCCCACCCCCACCTCCCTGGGAAGGGCTCGGCACTGGGAGGTGGGCCCCCACCCTTCGGCCCATCAGGGAAGCAGAACAGGTGGGCAGACGCCCCGGTGGGGTCCTGGGTGGAAAGGAAGAGGCAGGGGCTGAGGCTGCAGCGTTTAATGAGAGCCCACGGAGCTCCTGGGGGAGAGGCTAGGTCCACCTCCGGGCCAGCTGCTTCCTTGCACGGGGCAGCCGCCCGCCTCACCTCCGCAGTTCTGCAACACAGACGTGTCGCAGCCAGGAGGGAGCCCTGGGCACCGCCCTCCACGCCGCCCGCTGGAGCTGCCCGCTCACCGTCCAGGGTGTGGAACTGGTCCGCCGTCTCGCAGAAGCCTGGGGGCCGGGTCAGGGGTCAGGGGCAGCCAGGGGTGGGGGCGCGCAGTGAGCCGGGCGGAAACGGTGGGGGGACACTCACCATATTTGGGGAAGAATAGGATGTGGTCCTCGGTCAGGTTGGCCCCCTGGACCCGCTGCTCAAACGCACTCAGGAAGGAATCGCTCACGGGGAGCGAGCGGACTGCATGCGGGACACACGGGCTCCTGGGCACCCACGGGGCGGGGGCCTGCAGGGCGCTCTGGGGGCTGTGCTGTGTGCCTGGGGCTGCGATCTGACCCCTGCTCGCCCTCTTCCCGGTCCGGCTCTGCCCCCACATTTGGGCAGAAGGGCAGGGGCAGGGGGAAGGGAGGAGAGGGCCCGCCCAGCCCACCCAACAGCCTCCGGGGACCCAGGCCCCCCGGACGTACCGTACAGCTTCACTGACAGCTGCCGCGCCCGCTCCAGGTACAAGACGGCGAAGCCGCGGTAGTCCGTGTCCCCGATGACCACATTCACCGGCCCGCGGGCACCCCGGGCTGCGGGGAGCCGGCGGGTCAGCCCCACCGCCAGCGCCGCACCCGCCCCCAGCGGCCAGGGCCTCACCTTGGAGCAGGAAGCGCCCCGGGCTCCCCGCGTCTCTGTACAGCTGCCGCACTGCCCAGCAGATTCCATCCCTGGGGGCACGGCCGGCGTGGGAGGACGCCCAGCAGGCTGGGGTACCCCAACCCAGGTGAGGCCGCAGCTGGGGTGGGCTCAGGGGGTCCTCGCTGGGACTCACAGCTTTCGGAAGGTGCTGACGGCCATGGCCGAGCCCTGAGGAGCCACGTGCAGAGTGGTGGCCTCGGCCCGATGGCCCTGCTCCTGCAGGTAGCGACACGGGGAGGCCACGGCCACCAGGAGCCAGGTCCCTGCGAACTGGGGAGCAGGCCGTGTGAGGGCACGCAGGGCTGGGGGCAGCAGAGCCGGGCAGGCCGCTGCCCCACCTCCGCCCAGCTCTACCTGCTGGGCGTCAAAGTTGGCCTTGGGCTGGATGGTGCTGATGGGAGATGGGGGCCGCGGGGGTCTCCGCACCCGCTGACCCAGGGAGCTGCTGGCCAGGAGCAGAGTTAAGAGGGCTGAGATCCTGGGGGTCAGCATGGCGACGGCGGCGACAGGGCCAGGGCCAGAGCAGGCGCAGGCCAGGACGGTCGAGCCCCAGGTCGGAGTCCACTGTCCACTGCCCAGCAGCCCCGCCCAGGAAGCCTGCCACGCTCCCACCGCCGAAACCCCTGCCCTGGGCCAGGCAACCCCCCACTCAGCCTGCGGGTGAACCCAGCCTCACCCCGGACATCTGACCTCCGCCCTGTGCTTCCCGGCAGGGGCCCGTCGCCTTGTCCGTGTCCAAAGTCCAAGCTGACCTCTGGTCCTTGTCCACCGGGTGGCTGAGTCCACCTGCAATGCGGGAGAGCCAGGTTCGAACCCTGGGTCAGGAAGATCGCCTGGAGGAAGAAAAGGCAACCCAGTACTCCTGCCTGGAGACTCCCATGAACTGCACAGTCCACGAATGGACAGAGGAGCCTAGTGGGCTGCAGTTCATGGGGTCGCACAGAGTCGGACACGACTGAGCAACCTTCCCTTTTTTTCCCCTGTCCACAAATCCGGTGACTTCCACTGCGGCGGGTGCTCACCCCTTTGTACGTTCATCTCCCCACAGCGGAGCACACTTTTGCCTGTGAGGCCGCGGAACGCCGGAGCTCGGTCTCGAACCCGCGACCCTGAGCCTCGCCCTCAGCCCCGCCCACGGGCCTGGCGCAGGGCCGCCGTCCCTCTCCGCCGCCAGGGGCGCTGTTCCAGCGGAGGCCGGACGCGCACAGGCGCACAAAGAAGCGCGACCCGCGTCGCCGGGCCCTAACGCGCAGGCGCAGCAACGGCCGACGCGTGCTGTGGCGCTCGGCCCTCGACGGTCATCGATGCCTCGGGGCTCGTGGCATCAGCCTGGCGGCCTCCATCATAGAGACGCGGCGGCTGGAGCGTCGACGGAGGGCGGAAGAGGGTCCGTGGGCTGAGGCTGGGCGCCGGGGCGGGGGCCGCGCATCCGGGCGGAGGCGGCCGCGGTGAGTGCGCCGGCCCGGGGAGCGTAGTCACGGCGGCGTCCGGACCCCGGCCCGGGCCCTCACGGCCTAGCCCGGAGAGCGTCGTCACTCCGGCCCGACCCCTGGCCCGGCCCCCAAGCTCCCCGGACGTGTCTTTGGCCAATGAATGAATCGCCGAGGCCGCCGGGACCGAGGGGCCGAACCGAGGCCCCACCCCCCGCAGCCCCTCGGAGGGAGGGTCGGGGGGCGCTGGGCGGCCCCGCCCCCGCCCCGCCCCCAGCTCGCCCGGCTGTGTCCGCGCTGGCCTACGGCCAACCTGGCAGGGGTCCCCCAGGCCAGAGGGCAGAGGTCAGGGACGGCTGGTGTTCCTGGCGGCGTCTGGGACGGGCGGCCGGGCCGGCCCCCGTTCCGCCAGCCCCGAGTCTCTCCTGGGAAGGACCTCTATCCCATGCTGACCGCTCCGAAGCCTGGGGCAGCAAGGTCAGAGATGGTGCACAGGGGTCACCGACCCTTCCCTTCTGGGCCTCGGAGCGGTTACCAGCTCTGGCGACCAGATGTCTCCCCGGGATCTTATGGGGGGAAGTCAGAGGGCCCCACCCAGAAGGCCTGTCCTCCTGCGGAGGGGAACTTTTAGGGTGACAGTGGGTCCCCCGAGCCCACGGCAACTCCAGCTCCAGCTGGGCCAGGCCCGGAAGCTGCGTGTTCAGGGGATCACTGGGCCTTGCGGGACCTCAGGAGCGCAGGGTCCGAGGAGCACGGCTGTCTGGAGGGGCTTGGGGAAGCTCTTGGCTCCGTGGCCCTGCAGGCCGTGCCAGCCGGCCCTCCGCACATGCTCAGTCCAGTGGAATGCTCAGCAGGGCAGTTGGCAGGGCAGGAGGAGCACCTACTGGGCTGGCTTGGCTCGGCTCAGCCCCGGGCCCTGTGCCTCTCCTGGGCCTGGGGGCCGGTGTCCTCCTTGGTCCCACCGGCAGCTAAGGGGGCTGTGCCTGGGTTTCAGGGCCGCCTGGGCAGAATGTCACGATGGATGAGGGGGGCACACCCCTGCTCCCGGACAGCCTGGTTTACCAGATCTTCCTGAGCTTGGGCCCGGCCGACGTGCTGGCTGCCGGGCTGGTGTGCCGCCAGTGGCGGGCCGTGTCCAGGGACGAGTTCCTGTGGAGGGAGCAGTTCTACCGCTACTACCGGGTGGCCCGGGACGTGCCCCGACACCCAGGTCAGCGCCAGCCCCCGCGCCGGCCGGGGCGGCCAGGCTGGGCCCGGGGGAGGGTGGGCAGGGCCCTGCTTCTGCAGCCCCGACACCCAGGTCAGCGCCAGGCCCCGCACTGGCCGGGGGTGGCCAGGCTGGGCCTGGGGGGGGCGGGGGGGGGCCCCCGGCTGCCAGGGCCCTGCTTCTGCAGCCCGCGGCCCCAGCATGACTGCCCCCACAGCGGCCACGTCCTGGTTCGAGGAGTTCCGCCGCCTCTACGACGCGGTGCCGTGCGTGGAGGTGCAGACGCTGCGGGAGCACAGTGACCAGGTCCTGCATCTCAGCTTCTCGCACTCGGGCGGCCAGTTCGCGTCCTGCTCCAAGGACTGCACGGTGAAGGTGCGGGCGGCCCGGGGCTCAGGTCAGGGCTGACGGCGGCCCCCGGGGAGGGTCACAACCTGGGTGGCCGCCCGGGCTGGGAGGTCGGGGCTGGGTGGCCCTAACTGCCTACAGATGGGCAGAGGGCCCTGCGCACAGCTACGCCAGAGCCGGCCAGAGCACCACGTGCCCACAGGCCTCGGGTGGTCTGAAGGCCAGAGACAAGGGACCCCCACCTGGGCGGTTTGCGGGCACTGGCCAGGAGAGGGGCTGAGGGGCGCTGCGCAGATGGGCTCACAGGTGTGCCTGCTGGGCCCCCCCCAGATCTGGAGCAACGACCTGCGCATCTCGCTGATGCACAGCGCGGACATGCGGCCTTACAACTGGAGCTACACCCAGTTCTCCCAGTTTAACCAGGACGACTCGCTGCTGCTGGCGTCGGGGGTGTTCCTGGGGCCCCACAACTCCTCCTCTGGGGAGATTGCGGTCATCAGCCTAGGTGAGAGAGGGCTGGGGGCGGGCGGCCCTCCTTCTCTTCCCCCGACCACCCCGCCCCTGACGCCCCTCCCGCCCTGCCCCTTCCTGCTGCTCCCCTCAGACACCTTCGCCCTGCTATCCCGGGTTCGCAACAAGCCCTACGATGTGTTCGGCTGCTGGCTCACGGACACCAGCTTGATCTCGGGGAACCTGCACCGCATCGGGGACATCACGTCGTGTTCGGTGCTCTGGCTCAACAACGCCTTCCAGGTGCGTGTGGGCGGGCACTGCGGCCAGCGGCGGCCTCCCGCAGCCCGTGCCCACCTCCGCGCTCCTGCCCGCAGGACGTGGAGTCAGAGAACGTGAACGTGGTGAAGCGGCTCTTCAAGATCCAGAACCTCAACGCCAGCACCATCCGCACCGTCATGGTGGCCGACTGCAGCCGCTTCGACAGCCCTGACCTCCTGCTGGACGCTGGCACCCCCGGCACAGACTCCAGCCGCGTCTTCGACCTGGGCAGCGACAGCGAGGACGAGGAGAGCGACCCGGGCCCGGCCCGCACCAAGGGCCTGCGGCGCCTCCTGGATGGGCTCCTGGAGGGCCGGGCACAGCCGCTGCTGCCAGAGAGCACGCTGGAGACTAAGGTAGCTGAGCTGCTGGCCCAGGGCCACACCAAGCCCCCCGAGCAGGGCAGGGCCGCCGCCGGGAACAAGCTGCTCATTTTCACCACCGGCTGCCTCACCTACTCGCCGCACCAGATCGGTGAGGGGCCTGGGGTGGGTCAGTCTGTGGGCAAAGCCCCTTCCTCTGTCTGGGGGGCCGAGCGCTAGTCCAGCACCTCCCCCCACTCACCCCTGGGCAGGCACACGTTCAGATCTGGGGGTGCAGGGCAGGCAACAGCCCAGCTGTCTGGGAACTGCCAGGCACCAAGGTGCCGCCTCCCCCACCTCCTTGCAGGCATCAAGCAGATCCTGCCGCACCAGATGACCACAGCCGGGCCCGTTCTGGGCGAGGGCCGGGGCTCCGACGCCTTCTTTGATGCGCTGGACCACGTCATCGACGTGCACGGACACATCATCGGCATGGGCCTGTCCCCCGACAACAGGTGGGCTTCTGTGGGTGGCCCGGGGGCGGGGGGCACTCCGCGGGCACTCACCGAGCCGCGTGCTGGCGCAGGTACCTGTACGTGAACAGCCGCGCCTGGCCCAGCGGCTCGGTGGTGGCAGACCCCATGCAGCCGCCGCCCATCGCCGAGGAGATCGACCTGCTGGTTTTCGACCTGAAGACCATGCGTGAGGTGAAGCGGGCCCTGCGCGCGCACCGCGCCTACACGCCCAACGACGAGTGCTTCTTCATCTTCCTGGACGTCAGCAGGGACTTCGTGGCCAGGTGGTGCGGCGGGGCCGGCGGGGCGGGGCGCGGCCTGGAGCGGGGAGTGGCCCCGGGCGCGATCGGAGCCGGAAGGCGCCGGGGGAGAGCCGGCTGCCGGTGGCCGTCTCCGCGGCTGCGTTCTATATTTCTTTTTCTTGGAAGAACCCGACTGCGGCCCTGGCATCCTTGACCCCCGGCGCACGCGCGCCCCGCCCCTGCTATGGGGGCCATTCTCCCTCCGCGCCTTCTCGGGTCCCCAGCGCTGGTCCCTGGTTCTTTAGGCCCCCCACCTCTTAGAGGAACCCCCAACAGACGCTCTCAGAGAGGAAAGGGGGTCGGGGCTGGGGTTGGGGTCTGAACTCCTCAGGCTGGAGATGGCCCTCGCCGCTCCGCCGCGGGCGGAGGCTTCGGATGGCTGGACCCCGGGGACCCAGACCCCAGATCAGAGCACAGCTGCACCTTCTCATTTAGTCATTCCCCTTATGATCACTCCCATTTTACAGATTACTCACCCGAGGTTTCCAGAATGACAGGCGCAGGGCCGCGGGCGGGGGAGGACCTCTAGGCAGAGCCGGTGCTTACTAAGCGCCTTTGCGCTCACTGGGGCGCGGCCGGGCTCACTGCAGACTGTCCCCTCGGCAGTGGGGCCGAGGACCGCCACGGCTACATCTGGGACCGCCACTACAACATATGCCTGGCCAAGCTGCGGCACCAGGATGTGGTCAACTCGGTGGTCTTCAGCCCCCAGGAGCAAGAGCTCCTGCTGACGGCCAGCGACGACGCCACCATCAAAGCCTGGCGCTCACCCCGCACTGTGCGTGTCCTCCAGGCCCCGCGCCCGCGCCCACGCCCCTTCTTCTCCTGGTTCGCCAGCCAGAAGCACTGAGGCGCTGGGGCCCACCGAGGACGCCCGGGGCCCTTTTCCAGGTCTCAAAGCGGCCCAGACCGCACAGGGGCAGAGCAGCTCGCCACAGGAATGCCTTAGGAAGGGGGCCGGTAGGCCGCAGGGAGCGCGGCCTGGCCCCCCACGCTCGCGCACACACACCGCCTCCCACAGCTGTGCGGCTCAGCGCCGGGCAGCCAGGATCCGCTCTGACTGGCCCGGGGTGCACAGGACACTGGGTCCCCTGCCCCCCACTCCTCACCCACCCCTTTCCCCTGGGCCCGTCAGCACCACATGTCCCCTGGCAGCCCTGGGGGCCAGGCACTGTTCACTGGGCCCAGCCTTGCCCAGGGAGCCAGGGTGCCGTCCTCTGGGAACTGCCAAGTGCCAGGGTTGCAATGCAGGTCAGGCTGCTGTGAGCCCAGGGGGCCTGCATGTCACGGGTCACCTGTTCAGGGTCTGAATAAACGGTTGGCACGGGCACAGCGCTGGCCAGTCTCTGCAGGGAGGGCTGTGGCGTCTGTTCAGGCCCTTGGTGTGCTTGCTGGACAGGGCGGGGTGCCCCAGGCCACACGCTGGAGCTGCCCTGAGCCGGCCAATGGGGACCCAAGTTCACGTCCCCAGCTGCGGCCCCCACCGCCTCCAAACGAGGCCCCCGGCCACTGATTCCTGAGCAGCCTTACTGCGTGTCCACTCCCCGCCAGCAGGGGGCACAGGAGGACTCTGACGGCACGCGGGCGGGCCAGCTGGTTGGGGAACCAGAGCTCTGCCTGCCTGGGTGCTGGTGGAGCCCTCAGCTCAGGGCTTGGGAGTCCTCCGGGGGGCCCTGGCAGTGACAGTGGACACAGCAGAGGGGCAGGGGTAGCCCCGGCCCATCCCAGGGCTCACCAGGGCTGCGTGTTCGTCTGGGGACACGGGGTGGGGGCTCTGCATGGCAGCAGGCCTGCCGAGCAGTCTGCATGGGGAGTGTCAGTACTGGACTGCTGTCAGCCCCACACATGGCACCCGTCACCATGATGGTCGAGAAAGACGTGGACAGGCCCTCCCTAGGCGGCCTTACATCCTTCCAGCCAGAGGCAGTGGTGAGCAGAGGCTGGCCCAGTTGCCTGCGGGCTCACAGTCAAGCCGGCCGCAGGGAGACGGGCTAGGCAGGGCCAGCGCACACAGGTCAGGTAAGCTAGCCTGGGAGGACTCAGACCAAAGGGCAGTGTGCCTGGGGCAGCCAGCCCACAGCACGGCGGCTCCTCAAGGACAGAGCCCCAGTGCCGCGTCGGCAGCGGGGCGCCCACATCCCTCGGTTTGTCTGCAAACCGCTGGACCCGTGAGAACTGGGAAGGGGCCCCAACAGCAGCAGAGCCGGGGTGCGCTGCGCTGGACCCACTGAGCACAGTCCAGGACCTGTGCTCAGCCATGGGCAGGAGCCAGCAAACCCCATGGATGCTACTGGTCCAGAGGAGCTGCAAGATGACAGTTTCTGGAAAAAACCGGGGATATGTTTAATTGAAAGCCGTCAAGGAAACAAAATCTGTAAGGCAGAAACAGAACAGGAATCGAGAACAGGCAGAAAGTGACATTTAAAAGAGAGCTGACTGCGAAGAGGTGCAGCGATCGGGTAAATGCCTCACGCAGGGAAAGGAGGCTGGCCCCAGCCCAGCTGCTGAGGAAGCAGAGAAGCGGAAACCTGCCAGGAGAATGGGAGCAGGGGGCTGGGAGGTGGCTCTGAGGACACTGTCCCCAGGGGCGAGCAGAGGTCTGAGAGCAAGCTCAGTGGGCAGCAGCTGAAGGCGCAGGCCCACCGCCCAGGCTTTGCAGAGGGCAGCGGGGCAGCTGGGCCCCAGGACCGCACCTCTCCCCAGCGCCCACCTCCGATCGCTGGGCCTGCAGCACGGCCGCCAGCCTACCAAGGGGCGGGAAGGGGGCTCGCACAGCGGACTGAGTGCTGAGGCGGGGCGGCCTCCGGGGGCTCTGTGGCCCCAGGCGCAGCGGCTGGAGGACAGGCCTGCCTGTCAGGGCCCAAGCGCCAGGCTCCAGGCTGGGGGCCAGACGGGGGCCGGCAACCAGACCAGAGGGAGCGGCTTGAGAAACAGCCCGTGAGGGGCTTGCAAAGCCCAGGAGCCCCTCGGTGGTGGGGCTGCCCCAAGGCCTGGTGACTCAGAGCAGCGCCTGCATCCCCGCCCAGGGCTGGGGGCACACATACGGGGTCCGTCCAGAGAGGAGGGTCTGCGTCCCCGCCCAGGGCTGGTGGGGCACATACGGGGTCCGTCCAGAGAGGAGGGTCTGTGTGCCCCCCCAGGGCTGGTGGGGCACATACGGGGTCCGTCCAGAGAGGCGGGCATGGGGGCGCAGCAGAGGTGGGGTCCAGCCCACAGGTTGCAGTGGGGCCGTGGGCCTGAGGCTAACCAGCCCCAGACCAGATGAAGTCCGTGTCCAGAGTCTAATGCACAGATAGCCGGCTCTCACAGAACCATGGGAAAGGGGCGCCGGGAGGTGCTGAGCGTGTCAGAATGAGCAGACGGACTGTGGTGGCTGCTGAGACAGCTGAGCGAGCATCGCACACGCCGTGCCACAGATGCCAGGGTAGAAACGTCTCAGCAAAGAAACAAACTCACTAGACGGATTCAACAGCAGGATGCAGTCAGAGGAGAGCCGGTGACCGTGACTGAGGACAGACCCGCAAGGAGAGCATGTGAAGGCGAGTGAGGGTCTGAGGCTGTGCTGCCGGCAGCCCGAGGGGAGAAGGAAGCGGTTCGAAGAAGTAGCGGCTGAAAATGTCTGCAGATTTGGTGGAATGTACAAACTTACAGATTCGAGAAGCTGAGCAGGACTCAGGGCCAAGCACACACATCCAGACACATGGAATCAGAGGGGGAGAACTGAAGACAGAAGGATGCTGACAGCAGAGAGGAGACGCGGCTCACCCCCGGGCTCCGCGTATGGGGCTGCGCGTCCCTCCCCCAGACGCGGGACCACAGACGCAGCACTGCGGGGGGGCGTGCCTCGGCTTGTGGGACTGGACTGAACTCTGGCCGCGGCAGTCAAAGGCCAGAATCCTAGCCACGGGTCCACCAGGGAGGTCCCAGAAGCAGTGAATCTTCTGAGTGCTGGGCTTAGACAGCCTGGAGCTGGGTCTCTAGTGAGAAGGACCCGCTCCGTCAGGTCTGGTGGAGGCGCTCTCCCGACAGGAAGGACAGGACGTGGGCAGGAGGCGGCAGCAGCAGCAACGGGAAGCCCTCTCCCAAGTTCTCCAAACATGTTTGACGACTGACTAGAAAGAGGTAGTTATGATGTCTAGCGAGGCAGCCGACTCATCAAGTAGACGGAACCATCCCACACCTGTGTGCAGCTAACAGCAGTCTCAAAACACACGCGGCAGAAAGCGAGGTGCGTCAAAAGTGACCGCCGGACAGGCCAGGCGCTCGTGTCTCAGAGGCTGCGGAGGCACACCTGAGCCCTCCCCGGCGGCTTCCTAGGCGGCCCAGACACTGAGCCGCACACCGGGATGGTTAAAACGGAGGACTGATCCTCTCCGAGTCCTGGAGGCTCAGGTCCAAGCTTACGGGGCTGGCAGGGCCGCTGCCGGGGAGGCGCCCTCCTGGGCTCTTCCTGGGTCCACCCGCTGTCTCTGGGGCTCCGGACGCAGACACCTCCCCCCAAACCCCCCCTCAACGCGGCACGCTCCTCCAACCTGCTCTCTGCTCTGTGCGTCCAGACTCTCGGCATGAGGGATTGAGCCCGGCCTAATGCCTCCCTCTAACTTCTCTCTGTAAAGGCTGTCATTCCAAACCAGGTCCCGTTCTAAGTTACTGAGAAACAGTACTTCCTAGCTTTTGGGGGACACAACCCATGACGACTATCGGCCGTGAATGTGACATATACAGGATGTTCCCTTCACCAACTGCAGCGGCACGAACAAGTACAGAGTCTCCAGTGCTTTCTCCAGTCAGGAGGGATCCTGCGGGAGCTGCGGGCCTGTGCGCAGGGCTGGACGGGACGCAGGGTGGCGGGGACGCCCCGCTGGGCACGGGCAGGCGTGTGCCCACGGGAGCAGAGTGGGGAGGCGACAGATAGGGGGCCTGGCGTTCACACACCTGCCGTGCTCAGCATGCCAGGCCTCCACCCTGGGGCAGAGGACGAGGCCCCGCGGGGGAGCCGGTGCACGCATCTCACGTGTGGGAGACCAAACGGAGACAGACGTGACACGCACACAGCGGACGACTCGCATCGGCAAGGGCAGCGCCCTGGCCAGCCGAGGCAGCGCGAGGAAAGGAAGCAGGACTCCACTCTTCTGCAACGTCTCTTTTTAATTAAAATACATAATTCAAAACGTGTACACGTGTTAACTCTGGGCTCACAGCTCATCACTCTGCGTGCTTCTCTGCTGTTAAGAAGTGACGGTGACGACGCCAAGGGTGTCCAGTGTCACGAGGTCTCTGAGGACCTGGCCCCCGAGTCTCCCAGTCCCAGGTGTGGACAGCCAGCGGCCAGGACCTGCGCCCGGCCGGGGGCCCCCAGGGCTGAGGCCCCGCCAGGGTCCACCAGGTGCACCCTGTGCTCGGGCCGCTGTCAAGGGGACCCCAGGGCGGGCACGGCTGCTCCTGCGGTGACATGACGTCAGCCCCACCCCCGCCCCCGAAGACAAAGCCACCAGCATTCTGCAGGCCTGGGGGCCCCGCTCTCCATGGCAGCCCCTGGCGAGACCTGAAAGACAGAAGCCGCCCAGCAAGCAGTCTCCCAGGAGAAGAGCCGACCTCCCCGAGGTCCCTGGTGTCTGGGAGCCTTGGGACACTCGGGAGACGGCCAGGTTTGCTGCCCCCAGGGCCAGAGCCAGGGCAGCACTTGGCAGAGCGCCGAGGGTCTGAGCGCGCCTCCCCGAGCCAACGGGGAGGTCGACGTGTCTTAGCAGGGCTGGGGGACAGCCCCACACCCCGCAGGGCGGGGGACACGGGGCACCCACCGCGTGCAGCCTTGTCAGGCTGGTCCAGCAGGGCTCTCCTCTGAGCGGCAGCCAGGCCCTCCTCTCCAGGTTTGCTGCCCCCAGGGCCAGAGCCAGGGCTGCCAACGGGGAGGTCGACGTGTCTTAGCAGGGCTGGGGGACAGCCCCACACCCCGCAGGGCGGGGGACACGGGGCACCCACCACGTGCAGCCTTGTCAGGCTGGCCCAGCAGGGCTCTCCTCTGAGCGGCAGCCAGGCCCTCCTCTCCTGGGCTCCTCGCCACGGCTGCCCTGCTGCAGACTGAGGGTTCCAGGCCTGCGGGGCGCACCCAGCAGGGACACACAGCCCCTCAGCCCAGCCCCGCTCAGGACGGGCCCCTGAGGACAGCTCAGCGGAGCCCACCCAGCGCGGGGCCCCGCTGTGTGAGAGGCGACTAGAGCCCCGTCAGGTCCACGATGGCTTTGATGAAGATGGCGTCGTCACGCACGTAGGAGTTCTTGGCCTCCATCTTGGAGACGGGGCAGAAGAGCGGGCAGCCGCTGGCGATGTTCATGTCGCTGACCGGCCTCTGGAAGGACGAGGAGGTCACGTCGGGCCTGAAGGCGTCGATCACGTGCTCGCGGTGGTTCTGGTCCAGCAGCATCAGGGTCACCTGGGAGAGCACCCGGGGCGAGGGGGCGTCACACCCCGCAGCCGGACGGGCTTGTCCGTCTCTGCCCTGCCCTGTCTGCTGAGAGACCCGAGGCTGGCCCGCGGGCCGTGGGGCTCCTCTGAGGACACACCTCGCGGGCGTTTTCTCAGGAGCTCCCAGGTGCCCCGGCCCAGGAGCAGCGCTCTCCAGGGAAAAGCAGGACCCCGCCCCGCGCTCGGGGACACCACGCCCTCCGCGAGGGCCATGGGGCTGCGTCCCCTCACTTCCGCGCTGACCTAGACCTGGGTCCCCGCTTCAGCCCGGCTGCCCGCCGCCCTGGCACACAAGCTCTCTGAGGCAGCCCTCCACGCACCGTGGTGCCGAGCAGCCACGGACGCCACCCGCCGCCCGGGAGCCCCGTGCACCTTCTGGTTGAAGGGCCAGCGCAGGAGGGCGTCATGCGGGCCCCGCATCAGCACGAAGAAGAGGGACAGGTGCGTGCCACGCCCGGTGCCGTCCCCGTTGAGGTAGGCGCGCAGGCACATCTTGTAGCCGTACCTGCTGGTGTAGAAGGCTGCGGGGTGGGGGGCAGGGGGGTGAGCCCGGGCCAGCCACGCGGCCTCCCCACAGCACCTGCCGCTCAGCACAGGCTTGAGGAGGGGCCAGCTGCCGGCGCAGACAGACACAGAGCGCTCAGAAATGGGGCCTGAACGTGAGCCCACGTTGGCCTCGCTGCCACGGGAGGCTCGAGCCAGGTCAACGCACAGCTCGCCAGGCTCTGGGCCAAGGGCCAAGGTCAGCCACCTCCGGTCCGGACGAGCCTCCCGTCCCACGAGGAGCGGAGGGGTGACTGGACGCAGTGGGGGCGGCCACGTAAGGCAGGCTGGTGCGGAGCCAGGAGCAGGCCTGGAGCCGACCCCGACCCAGGGGTGCGGGTGGGAAGGCCTGGGAGAGCACCTGGGGAGAAGATGGCGGGCGTGCGGCCGGCCACGGCTTCCTGCCGCTTCCTGGAGAAGTCCGAGATCTTCCAGATGAACACGCCATCGAAGGTGGACGCCTCCATCTCCAAGACCTTCTGCTCCAGGTCGGCCACGGCCAGGTCCTTCAGGCCGATGCTCCGCTCCAGCTGCTGCACCTGGGGGTGCGGGGCCGTGAGGGCGGGCCCCTGCCGGCCCACAGGGACCAGCCTCCACCCGGCACGAACGAGCCTGTCAGGGCCTCCAGGCTGTCTCCCCTCCTCAGGAGGATGGCCCCTCGCCCAGCACCTCAGCTGTCGTAGGTCGGCTCCGTGCCCCCGAGACCCCCACCCCAGGAGGAAACATGAGAGTCCACACACACAGCAAGCACGTCCCCGCGGCCACCTCTGCCCCGTCGGAGAAGGGACTCCGGGGAGCTCTGCTCAGGCACAGGCAGTGCAGGGAGCCCGCCGGACAGGCACAGGCGCCACCCAGCTCTGGCTCGGACACGCCGTGGCCCCCGGCCCGTCTGAGGCGGCCCGGGCGCTGGGGGCATGCACCCCGCCCCCAGCACGGACCTTGTTGCTCAGGGCCTCGATCCTGTCTTGGTCCAGCCGGTGCTGCCGGCCGCAGGCCTCGGCCGTCACGGCCACCCGCTCCACCTCCCGGTTCAGCACACAGACGATGTTCTCAAAGGTGGCCGTCTTCCGCTCCAGGGCCTCGCACCTCTGTAGCAGCTCCGCCGCCCTGGAGGGTGCGCTGGCCTCCCAGGTGCCCTCGCCCTGGCCGAGGAGTGGGCGGCCGTCCCCCAGGGGCCGCCCGGCCTCCAGCAGGACACCCAGCAGCAGGGCCAGGTGCTCCCGGAGCCGCTGTGCCTCGTGCTCCTGCTGCTTCTCACTCTCCACCTGCCGAGGACACAGCACTCAGCCCCGCCAGGCCCCGGGCCCGGACCTCGGCAGGTGGGGCGCCCGAGGCCCAACCCTGAGCTGCCTGTCCTCGAGACACAGACCTCCTTCCGCGCCTCACTCGTGTTTAAGCTGCCGGAGGAACCATTACAGACACTGCCATGTGGCTCGGGACGGGGTTGAAGGTCACCTTCAGGCAGTCCCCCCGCACAGACTTGACTTTGCAGCCACGTCCCTTCCAAAGCTCCACAGCGAGTGTGGAGGGTCAGAAGGACTAAGAAAGTCTAAAGCACAAATAAAGGGATGAAGCTCCACATGAGGCCTAGCGTGCGGGAACCTTGAATGCCTGACATGGAGGCTCTGCTGAGGCTGCTGCTGGAGCCACGAGGTCAACAGGACGTGACCCTCCGTGGGCCGGGAAGAAGCCACTCTAGCCCCGGGCCCCTCTGCGGGCGCTAACAGCCCCTGGGCCCACGAAATAACCAGCACCGCAGTGTCCAGAAGCAGGCAGGCACACACAGACCAAGGGGATGGAAGGGGCCCCACCCTCATTCACCCGCAGAAAAACACAGCGGGTGCTGAGATCCGGCGACATCAAGTCAGCAGGTAACAGCACCGCCAGCAGGCCGCCCCCGCCGAGAGCAGAGGGCTGGGGTGCCTGTCTCTACGGGCCAGGCTTACACACACCCAGCCCTCGGGGACACAGAACAGGTGAGAGAGGAGGGCCGGGGCGACGCACACAGGGGGCTGCCCAGACCCGAGGGAGCTGCAAAGAAGCGGGCAGCCGCGGCTGCAGAGAGGTGGGCTCAAAGACCAGAAGACAGCTGGGCCAGTGGCTGGAGCAGGATCACACAGCAGGGCCACGCAGACCACAGAAGTGAGGGGGGGGCTGGGGGCCGTCCGGGCAGAACAGCAGCTCGTCCGGAGACCGGCCGGGACACGAGACAGGAGGCAGGTCCACGATGACCACGGGGCTTGTGGCCGTAACAGCCAGGTGAAGAGAGGTGAGTGAATGGGCAGGGGCGTGGCCAGACCCCGGGGCGGGGAGGGGGGGGTGGCGCGCAACATGCTGGGCATCCTTTCCACGGGGTGGCTAAGGCTGGGCACTGGGGATCACCGGGAGGACATGGACAGAGCCGGGACACCCGCGGGCCAAGCTGGAGCAAGAGGGGAGATGTGTCCAGAAGGGCCTCTGCTTGAGAACCAGAAGCTAGGCCAGCTGCAGACAGGGACTCACCATCTCAGGGCAGCCGACGGCGTGGAATCGGCACGGGACTCGACATCTGCCACACGTCCGGACGTGGTCCTGAAACTGACGGGCCTGGGGTCAACACCGCTCCACCTCTGCTCCGGCCGCTCACCCCTGCAGCCCCGACCAGGTCAGAGTCCGAGCAAGGGTTCCTGGACCCACCCCACCGGCCTCTGCACACTCAGGCCAGACAAAGCCCAGCAAGGTGCTCCCAAAGCTGCAGGGCACAGACATGCTCATGCTCACATGCACATGTGCAAACTCAGCCACGTGTGTGCTTGAAGCCAGCACAGGCTGAGGGACATCCCAGACCACCCGCGGAGCCTCTGTTCCCCGCGCAGGCCTCCGAGTCCTAGAAGGCAGCCCTGCCGCCTCCCCGCCAGTCGGCCTACAGCCCCGGGGTCTAAGGCTGGTGGTGAGTTAGCGGGAATGGCTCAGTCCTATCTGACCCTGTGCGACCCCACAGACTGCAGCCCGCCAGGCTCCTCTGTCCATGGGATTCTCCACGCGAGAACACTGGAGCGGGATGCCATGGCCTCCTCCAGGGATCAAACTACACTCCAATATTAAAAAAATGGGGGGGATGCTGGTGACACTCAAGGCAGAAAAGCTCTTGGTCACGCTCACAACGTGAGCGTCACCACCTGAAACCAGCTGGGACGCAGTCCTCACCCTGTGTGGCCAGGCCTGAGGCGCCGAGGCCAGTAGGGTGCAGCGGGACGGGGCCCCCTCCCACCCTGGGAGGGCCTCAAGCCCCCAAGCGCCCAGAACACACTTGCCTCCCAGTCCTCGGCCTGGAGCCCCGTGATTGCCCAGCACACCTGCGAACAAGCTCTACAGAGCGACCCCAGGTGCTCAAAGTAGAAGGAGACAGATGGACTCTGTCAGACGCACCACAGCTGCTTCCCCGAGGACAGGCCACAAGGCTCACGTCCTCCCCCCAGAGCACAGAGGGCTGGAGAGAGAGCTGGCCACACAGGTCAGCTCCCCGCACAGCCAGCAGGGACGTGAAAGGGGTCTGTGAGACCATGCGCTGCGGCAGCAGACGAGAGCTGCCTCCCCCCACCCCGCCCACAGAGGCCGAGACCCCAGGGCACAGGGAGCCCCAACACAGCGTGGAGCACCCGAGTACCAGGTCCCCGCTCCCGCGGGCCGAGGGCGCAGCCGGCGGGCAATGCCGTGGGAGGGGGGACACGGAGCCCACCCCCCGCCCCAGAGTGCCCACCTTCTCCCGGGCGATCTTCTTCTTGCCGCAGCCGTCGCACGTCAGGGGGAACTTGGGGCAGATCTGGTGGTGCGCCTGCAAGGGGCGCGGCGGCCGTTAGAGCCCCAGCCGGGCGTACAGGGCATCCGCAGGCTCGGGGCCAGGCCCGTCTGGCCATCAGAGCCCCATCCGGGCACATGCAGAGGGCATCCAAGGCTCGGGGCTGGCCCCGTCTGGCCGTCAGAGCCTCGTCTGGGCGCATGCGGAGGGCATCCACAGGCTCGGGGCCGGGCCCGTCCAGCCGCCAGGAGGCTGAGGGAGGGAGACGGCCCTGCGTGCCGCCCCTGCACTCACCTTCATGTCGGCTGGGCAGCAGGGCGCCCGGCAGTGCCGGCAGCTGAGGCTCCGCTCCGGGCACTCATGCTCCAGGTGCTGCTCCTTCTCGCCGAGGCGCACGAGGCCTTTACACGCCGGGCACTCAGTCAGCATGAACGGGCAGTGTCCTTCGTGGCAGCTCTGGCAATAAAGGGAGCGGTGTTGGCGGGCCGCTGGCGGGATTCTGGCCGCAGCTGCAGTTCTGTCCAGGCCATGGGACCCCCGTACTCACTCCGGCACCCCTGCTCAAGGGCAGAGGTCACGACCCAGGTCCAGCTGGCAGAGCCCCACCTTCCGGACACAGAGGGGACAGTGAGGGGGACGCGGAGGCAGAGGGACAGGCTCTTAGAGGATGAAAGGCAGAGGAGAGCCACCGCAGCCCAGAGGACAGTCAGGGGCCCCTCCCCTTGCCCTCCTGAAGCTGAGGCCACGGGTGAGGCGGCCGGGGACGCGGGGTCCCAGCCTGGGGCTCCGATCGATCCGCCAGGCCCAGGCTGCCCTAGGAGAGGTGATGCCGTGGGGTGGCTGTGCCGCGGCCGTGAGAGCCGGGCCTGCCGGGCACTGGGGTGGCCACGGGGTGAGTGGGGAGGCAGAGGCAGCTGGAGAAGTGACGAAGCACGGGCCGGGAGGTGGGCGGGGCGGCGGGCCCAGGGGACAGGCAGAGACTGGGAGAGCCATCAGGAAACCTGGCCGGAAGGGGCGCAGGAGGAAGCAGGAAGCAGAAAACAGGACATGATGCTTTGTGTGTGATCGTTTTATAAAAACTGCAGTCCAATCCACATCATGTCAACACAACCACTCTGTGGAGACGCAGGCCGGGCGCCTGCCAGGTGCGGGCCACTCTGGGCTGCAAGGCCGGGTGCCCCAGCGGTTAGCCACAGTGACCCTGAAGGAGGAGGAACCTCCCTCAGGCCGTCTCCACGTGGCCCACCGTCCACGGCGGTGTGCACACACGGCCTCCACCTCACGCAGCAGGCTTGGCGGCGGGGAAAACAGAACCCCAGGAGCATCCCGGAGACTCAGCACGGGGGACCCCTCCAGGCAGCCAGGGTGCCCCAGGACCCCAGCTCCACGCCGCCCCAGGGGTGCACATCAGATGGGATGCAGCCCCCAGGCAGCCCCAGGCCAGGGGGGCGTCAGGGACGCTGCTGCGGGGGCCAGGCCCCAGGACACAGATGGGCTGTGCGGTGCTGGGCAGGATGATGCCGGGTGCAGCGAGCAGACCGGAGGGACCCCTGCCCCGGGGCTGCCGCCCTGCAGGCACGCCCGGGGGCACGTCCCTGAGCCCCAGGGCACCCCAGCTCCCCAGAGGGTTCTGGTCTGACCACACTAAGCACAGGGCAAACCACAAGCAGGCAGGAGCCTCAGACGTGCCCACGGCTCCGGAGGCACCTGGATCTGATCACTGCAAACGCTGGAGGCTGGGCACGGGGCAGCCCGGCCACACCCAGAGAAGAAGGCCTGTCCTGGCTGAGCCCGGCCCCACTCCACAGCAGCCGCCCCTGGGCCTGGAGCAGGGGCACGCTCAGTCCCAGGCCGGGCCGGCTCTGTCAGCTCCACTCCTCTCGGACGGCATGGAGAAATCAACAAACACGCCGTCAGCCAGAGTTCAAACCAAATGTTCAGGCGTTTCAACTCTGGACGCCCCGGCAGGGGCCAGCACGCCCGCTCTGCGCCCCTTTCAGCTGTGACGGCCCCATAGCCTGGTCCCCACCCAGGTCCACCCGGACCCTCCTCTGAAGCCCGAGGCCCTTTCTCCCTGCTGTTCCCAGTCCCACTTCTAGACAGCAGCCCCCAGCTGCCCCCACCTGCATTTGGCAGGCGCTCCACCATCTTCTGACTGAACTGGAACGTTATCTCACTGGGTTCTTAGAAAACGCTAGACATCACTGCAAGGGAAAAGCTTATTCAAAGGCTACACAGGATTTTCCCCATCTTTCCACACTCTCAGGAGCTCAGCTGAAGCCCCAGCATTTCCCAGCATGGCCCCAGTTCTGAGCAAGCCAGAGGGCAGATGTCTTGGCGCAGGGCTGAGGGCAGGGCCCCCACGCAGCAAGGGGGCTGCCCGCGCACCGAGGCGGCCTTGTCTGCAGTGGCCTCTCAAGCCAGTGACAGGTCATGCCTGCACCAAAGGCTGCACTCGGAGGCCAGGCAGGCCCGCCTCACACATGACCACCCCCTCAGGGACTTTCCTGAGCTCCCAGGCCTAGCCAGGGACTTTCCAGCCCGCATGCCTGCAGGGCCAGCAGGCCCACGGCTGGCTGTGGTCCCAGGCTCTCGGCCAGAAGCCCTCAAAGCTGCCACCCGCACTGCCAGCCGGAGGCAGGAGTGAGCCCCGAGGGTTCGGGAGCTGGGGTTACTCCACCTGTCCCCACGGACCTCTGGTCCCCTCAAAAAGCGTCACGGCGTCCCCCAGGGAGACCCTGCCCCAAGGCCTCCTCTCTGGACAGCCCCAGGCAGCAACAGGGCAGGCCCGCCTACAGACGGGCTCCCCGTCTGTGCCTCTGCCCCCCGGTGGCCCAGGGACTGGAGGCCCGCTCCCAGGAGGGGCACAGGGAGACCTGGTGCCTCATCAGAGCAGAGCACACCTCCTGTCCACCTGACCACAGGCTCCTCCACAGATGCAGACAAGCTCTTCTGGCAAAATGCAGACCCCGAGAGCCTGAAGCCAACATCAAGTCGGGCAACAGGGAACACCGCTGGGCAGTGTCCAGGGCCAGGAGCAGAAGAGAGGAGCCCTGGGGACCTGGGATCCCCACTCCAGGGCCGACGGGCCCCGCCCTCAGGTGGAAACTCAGGACAGCCCGCATACCCCACCGCTGGGAGGCTGCTCTGTGGTCCGGGCAGCCCCGCGCAGAGAACAGGGGCCCTGCAGCCTCGCTGGGGGGCTGTACGGCCCTGAGGCCTCCCCTGGGCCGGACACACACACACACACACACACACACACACACACACCACACACACACGAGCCCCGTCGCCTCGGGCTGGGCCCGGCCACCTTGCCCTGTCACGCTCCACACACACACACACACACACACACACACACACGAGCCCCGTCGCGCCGGCCACCTTGCCCTGTCACGCTCCCTGCCCTCAGACCCCTCGTCAGACCCCACGGCTGACAGCGGCCTTGGCGTGACGGCCCAAGGCCCCTCCCCTTGCAGCCTGGGGCAGGCTCCCCTGTTCTCAAGACTAGGCCTAGACCAGGTTATGACCCACCGCAGCATGGGCACCCCATCTTCCGCGGGCAGCACCCGGCCGCCGGGAAGTGCTGAGGGCACAGCTCGTGCAGGTGACCCACACAGGAGAGCCTCCAGCGGCACGCGAGCCCCGGGGTTCTCCCGAGGAGACGGCAGGGCGGCAGGCCCGGCTGCCAGAGGGAGGCTGGCACACCGGTGCCCCAACCTGCCCGAGGGGCCCACAAGAGATACACCCAGCCACTGCCCTTGTCGCTGGCACCTCGTCAAGACGCCTTCCTGTGACCCCAGGACTGACCAGCAGGCCACTCCTGCGTCCTCCAGCGAGAACTCGGTCAGCGAGGAGACAACACAAGCCTGGCAGCAAGAAGGCTGACTCCTCGCCCGTGTGGCGCTCAGGCCAGGCCGGGCCCCAGGCACACCGCTGCTCCCTGGCCACCCCAGGAAACACCCGCAGAGAGTGAGCTCCCTGCCCCCCGGTCACCCCAGGAAATGGCCACAGATGGCGAGCTCCCCGAACTCCCCGACACCCCAGGAAACGGCCGCAGTCGGCGAGCGCCCCACCCCCGGCCACGCGTCTGGCCACCCCAGCGGCAGCCGCCTCTCCTCCGGCGCCAGGCAGCCCCTACCTCGTACTCCTTCAGGGTGCCCTTCCAGGAGCAGCCCTCGCTGGGACAGACTGCCGGCAGGCTCTCCACCTCCCTGCGGGCGGCATTGTCCGGGAACGCCTGGGGAGAGAGCGGCCCTCGGGTGAGCCCCCCGCCAGCCGCCCCAGGCCCGGGCCAGGCCGCCCCTCCTGACGCGGCCAGCACAGCGCCGATGGCTCACTCACCGAGCTGCTCTCCAGGATTGAGACGCCCTCCTCGTAAATGCCCTCCTGCACACAGGCAGCGCAGCTCTGGGGCCCGGAGCTGGGGGGGGGGGAGCGGCCCGTGAGCCTGCCGCCCGCCAGACCCAGCCCACGGCCACCAAGCGGGGTGGCCAGCAGGCACAGGGCTGTGTGCGCCCGCAGAGCCCACACACGGACGCGGGGACCGGGGACACTGTCCTCCTGAGGACCGGCCACTGCCCTTGCCCCCAACCCCTCAGGGACGTGGGCGCCCGCTGCAAAGGGCTGCGAGCCTGCGGCTCCGGCAGACTGCGTGGTTCCCAGTAGAGACGCGGTGGAGCGGGAAGACCGACCCAGGGGACGCCCGCCTCGCCCCCCTGCGGGCCCCACCTCAGGATGGTGCTCAGACAGAAGGAGCAGTAGCGGTGGCCGCACTGCGCCTGGAAGGGCCTGCGCAGCACGTTCCTGCAGGCTGAGCACAGGTACTTGTCCTCGAGCTTGGTCCCCAGGAGGGTCTTGGAGAAGCCGGGCTGCAGCAGGTCCAGGGAGCTGGGAGGGGTCACGCTGGCTGCAGCCATGAGCGCCACACCCCACCAAGCCCTAAGGGAGAGCACAGCGCGTCAGGGTGGGTCCGGGGACGTGTGTGGTCACCAGGGGCCGAGGCCACTGGGCTGTGGGGGTGAAGTCTGAGGCAGAACACCGGTCTCGAACATGCGGGGGCCAAGGCTGAGGCAGCGGGCACCCCACCACGGGGTGGCGCCTCTCCCAGGCCAGCCGGCCCAGCCTGCATCCAAGGGAGACCACAGCCCTCAATCCTCGGGCCTGGCCATCGCCTTGAGGCGGGGATCATTATGATGCTCTTACTGACTCGCCCGGTCTGCCTGTGGAGGCTTCCCACCCAGACGCGGTTGGCTGACCACACCTCCTGTGGCAGATTGAGCCCATTTCACTAACCCATGGGCTTTACTCCTGTTGGACACTAAAGAACCACAAAACAGTCTCTTTTCTGAGCAATAAAGAGAGAAAAGGCCCCAACACATTGCAGGCCTCACCTCCCCCTCAGCACTCACAGCTCCCCGGCCCAGAGCGAGGGCGCCCTGGGAGGCCTCAAGGCTTACAGCCTTAAATATTTCATTCCAGTCACATCTATAAATGCACTGTAACCCTTAATCGTAACGGCGCAAAGAAGGAAATGGCAACCCACTCCGCTATTCTTGCCTGGAAAAGTCCATGGACAGAGGAGCCCGGCGGGCTTCAGTCCATGGGTTACATGAGCGAGCATGCGGGTGTGAAGGCACAGGGAGATGGGTTGGTAGCCATAAATTGGTAGAACTAAAAAAAAAAATCATGAGGAACACCACAGAGGCTCTAAGCTCGTGCCCAGGCTCTACCCGAACCACCCGCTCGCAGAGCCGCCCGCCCAGACATCTCAGGCCCCTCTGGCCTGCACCGCAGCCACCCGCGCTCACAGGCGGGCGGCCGGTGGTTTTTCTACTTAGGGTGACAGATGTCAGGGGTCAAGTGTCAGGAGCCTCCAACCTGGAACCAAACCCCTTCTGGGCCTTCCAAGCTTCCAGTTTATTTTCTGAATCCCGACTTCTCTCGAGCAAGGTGGTAAAAAACAAGGAGGAATGCGCCCGTGCGCGTGGCCCTGGTCTCGCGCTTAACCCACACCCCAAAATACGCTCCAGACAGGAACGCATTAACTTTACACAACAAAGTGATATTCTGTTAAACGGCATTTCTACTAGACTATTACTTACAGAATAACTCCAGTTACAGGGAGTTGGAGGACATGCAAAGCTAACAGAAGATGAAGGAGCTGGGAGGCGGCTGCCCTGGGGCGATTCTGAGGCAGCAGGAGCTGGGGCTCCTCCCTGCTGGCAGCACCCAGACCCCCAGGGCTTCCTGAGCGATGGGGCCGGACTGCCCGTTCACCACCACTCCCAACTCCCGGGGCGGGGGGTGAGGGGAACTAGAGATGACTTACTGACAATTTAATCAAGCGTGCCTTCACAGTGGAGCCCTCTAGAAAACTCTGAACCAGGGGGTTTGGACAGCTTCTAGCTGGACACGGGGACGCGCACGGAGGGAGTATGGCTGCCCTCCCTACCTCCGTACCTGGCCTGGGCGTCTCTCCCAGCGGGCTGACACTTGAGATTCTAAGTTCTCAGAGCTCTGCTAGCAAATCACTGACCCCAAGGAGGCGTCATGAAAAACCTCGATCTACAGTCAGCGTGTCTGAAGCACGGGAGGCCTCGCTGCCCACTGCCATCGGAGGTGGGGGGGGGGCAGCCGTGTGGGGCCGAGCCCTGAACGGGAGGGGCCTGTGAGGACTCCAGGCGGCCATGGAGAAACGGGGGGCCTCCCTGGTGGCTCAGTGGTGAAGAAGCTGCCTGTCAGTGCAGCAGACACGGATTCAATCCCTGGTCCGGGAAGAGCCCACCATGCCATGGGGCAGCAGGGCCTTAGCCACAGCTACTGAGCCTGCGCGCCCGGGAGAGCAGCCCCCGCCCTCCGGCACGAGAGGAGAGCCCCCACAGAAACAAAGACCCAGCACAGCCGAAAGGAAACTAATTAATTAAAAAAAGAGAAAGAAATGGAGAATTGCTTGGTGTGGAAAAATCACAGATTTGGAGTCAGAAACCTTGTGGAAAAAAAAAAGAAACCTTGTGAGCAGCGGAACAGTTTTCCATGTAGGAGGGCCAGCGCTACGGGAGGGGAGGACTTCCAGAAGGCCAGCAGCAGCTGTGTGCGTGGACACAGGTGCGTCTGGCCGTACACTCAGAACTTGTACACTTTGCTGTACAAGTATCTCATTTTTTAAATGAAGAGATGGAGTTTGTATTCCCAGAGAATCCAAAAAAGATGGTGAAATCCCTAATCATGGTACACTCACGCACATTTACCCAGAACAACCCGCTTCATAACGTTGACAACTGCAGGGCAACCTCAGAAACGGGTTTTAACACAAAAGAAGCCCCCAGGTGGGCTGCAGCCCCCAGGAGGGTGGGGGCACCTGGCACCTGCCTTTTGCCACTTCCTCCACTGCAGGCCCCCTTCGCAAGCCCAGATCCCACCTGCGTGCACAGCAGGAGGACCTGTGGAAAGGGCGGTCCCTGCGGGAAATCACCCAGACCCCAATGGAGCCCGAGGCTGCTGGGCAGCTGGGCCCCACGGTCCTCACCCGGTGCGTGGGAGTCAGTGAGTCATCTCGCAAGGGCAAGCTGCTGCCCAAACCAACATCACATCAAGGGTCGAACAGGCGGCTGCTGGGGGGCCACCTGTCGCCAGCAGACACATGGGCTCAGCTCAAGAACCTCCCTCTGGGATGTCCCAATGCAGGGCCTGAACTCCCCCAAATCCATGCTCCCACTGACAGCCACCCCTGCTGCTTGCAATGCTTGGGCCCCCATCCCCCGGGTCTAAGCCGCCTGCACAACAAACCTCCCGAGGCCAGAGTCAGGGACTGACATCTGCACACGGTGTACAGTGCGGCCCCCAGGACCACAGCCCCAGGTGAGCAGTCCCGTTTACACGACGTCACCTTCTTTCAAGCTCAACGTAATGTCAAGTGATCAGGCACCAACTCAGCACCCAGCAACTTGTGACACCAGAGCACAGTAAACGCCACACCCGCCCGCTCGCAGCCACTCGCGCCGCCAACGCACCCAGACTCTTATTAAAACCTGGGCCATTCGAGGGTGGGGTGTTCTGAGACAACAGCACTGAAACAAGTATACTATCAAGGGTGAAACAGGTCACCAGCCCAGGTTGGATGCATGAGACAAGGGCTCGGGGCTGGTGCACTGGGAAGACCCAGAGGGATGGGATGGGGAGGGAGGCAGGAGGGGGGATCGGGATGGGGAACACATGTAAATCCATGGCTGATTCATGTCAATGTGTGGCAAAAACCACTACAATATTGTAAAGTAATTAGCCTCCAACTAATAAAAAAAAAAAAAAACTGGGCCATTGACAGGGAGACGGTAATGACGATGGAGCAAATGTGCCCCTTTGAGGCCTCAGTCCCACCTCCAGTGGGTCAGGAAACCCACTGATTCTGCCTGCTACCCATATCCAGAAGCGGGACTTCCCTGGTGTCTGGTGGTTAAGGATCCAGCTGCCAACGACAGGTTCAGCTGAGCCCGCGAGCCTCAACTACTGAGCCTCTGAGCCCAGTGGAGGAGCCACCGCGACGAGACCCCACTCGCTGGAGCCATGGCTAGAGCGCCCCTGCTGGCCGCACCTGGAGAAAGCCCACCTGCAGAGATGAAGACCCAACAACCTCTACCCCAAAAAACCAGCATCCAGAACCTAACCACACTGCAACTGCTGGGCCAGGCCACCGTCCACCATGATATGACTTACCGCAGGGCCTCCCCAGCCCCTTAAACACATGACGGGGACCCAGCTCCTCCCTCAGACCCCCCAGGCTGCCCAAGCAGGCTCTCAGATTCCCAGAGAGCCCTCTCCTGCTCTCCTGGGCACAGGGGCATCACAGGCCTGGTGGTAGGGAGGAGGGACCCAGGCATGTGCGGGCGGTTATGAGTGCCGTCCCTGCTCCCCAGGCTCCCGCTGGCAACCGACTCACACGCCTGGGTCTGGCCCTTCCTCTGTGCTGCCCCCTTGACTAGCCCAGCCATGCCCTACCCCACTCCACAGCAGGGCACCCCAATCCTGGAACCCGCACAGCATCACCCCTGCTACTCACCTCCTACCCCCACCGCTGCCGTGTAGTCACGTCCCTAAACCACAGCCAGTCCACAAGAACACCTGCCCCGAACACCTCTCTACCACCTGCGGGCCTGCCGGCTCCGCCCTGCTGCTGGGAGCCTGCCTCTGTCCCTCCCCCGAGACACAAGCCCTCCATGGGACAGTGACACGCCCTCCTCCCCCTGGACACACGGAGAGCTTTACGGAGTGGTCCTCACCCGTCTCCTGGAAGGAGCAGTCCTAGCACCCCTCGAGGACAGGGCATCGAGCCCAAGTCTGGACTCGAGGATAGAAGGAATGTGTGCCCCCCACTCCAGGCATGATCCGTGGAGCCTGCAGGTCATTTTTTTCTGTGTTTTCTTCTCAACCCGCCACCCCTTGCCCGCGTGCCATCCTGCCATGGAAACCCACCTGCCAGGCTGTGCCCAATCCACACTGGTGCGCTGACTGTGTTGGCAGGTGGGCTGGCATTTCCCACTGCTGAGAGGGGCCCACACCTGACTCAAGTCAAAAGGTCTATTCTTCCCCCAAGAAAATACTGTCCCCAACACCGAGTGATGGCTATACATTCTCCGTTCTAGCCCCAGGTCACAAGCACTATTGAGACAACCCATTCCTTCAGTTCAGAGTGCCCGTGTCAGTGATGCACACACATGACCTTCACCTTATCCCGCCATGCACCACGCACCACGCCGGGCACAGCGAGCGGCCCTGCCGCCGCTGCAGTCGACAGGCCAGGGCCACAGAGCACAAGGCAGCCTGGGACACCCGAAGGGCCCATGGAGCAGCCTGGGTGTCTCAGGAGGTGCCCACGCAGCTATCCCCCACAACGGGACAAGAGGCTCCACTCACAGCGCCGGCCTTTGGGGGCTGCAGCACCGGGGGGCTCGGCTTCAGTCCCCAGGAGGGCAGGCTGAGGTGGGAGCTGGGCCAGGCTGGGGGGCTAGAATCAGTCAGATGCCCAAATGCGTGAGGAGGCTACTGCCCCTCAGAAAAGGCTTTACAAAAACACTTCTTAGGAGTTTGTTTGAAATTCAAGCAATAAAGGAGTTTTATGGTATGCAAACTACACCGCAATAAAGCTGTTAAAACATACAGAAACAACTCAAGCCACACTTTGGGGCCGGCTGGGACCTCCACCTAAAGTCAGTGACTGAGCTGCTAAAAGCTGTTGCCGGCCCCACCGCCAGGGACATGTAGCCCCTGAGTCTCGCAGGGCCAGGCGCGAGGCCCGACACACCCCCCGCCCTGCCAGTCTCTGGATCGGCCGAGCGGCGGCCGTCACGGGCGCAGCTGTTCCCGGCTCTCTCTGTTCCCACCGCCGGGTCCACCGGGAGCCCGCTCGGCGTCCACTGAACCTGTGGCACCGCACACGCGGCAGAGCTGGGTCCCCGGGCTCCGCGCGCTCCGGCAGCTGCCTCCGCTCTGGACCCCCGTACCCGCCCCAGGGCCCGGGGTCACCGTCGGGCAAGGGCAAAGCGCAGCGGGGCCGGGGCAGGCGGAGGGGCCCGCGGCGGCCCCCGAGGTCGGGGGGCCCGTCCGCACCCCAAGCGGGGCAGGAAAGGGCGGGGGCCGCGGCCGAAGCTCGCGGGCGGCTCGAGGCGCGGCGACCCCGCCGGTCCCGAGCCCGCCCCCGCGGACGCCCCGCTGTTCGCGAACCTTCCTGCGTGGGGCCCGCTCCGACTTTCAGTTTCCGGCCCCGAGAAATCCCCTCGGGTTCGACCCCCGACCCCACCGCGACCCCGACCCCGACGTCAGGACTCACCAACGGTCGCCTCGCGCCCGGAACTGCCTGCCAGCCAGCCGCTGCGGCTGCCGCCGACCCGCCCCCGAACCCGCCTGACGGACTGCTGTGAGGACCTACCAGAGGCGCCCAGGAAGCCATAGGGAGCACCGACTGGCTAGATTTCTCCCCGCCCCCTAATTAGGACCCGCCCACCTGACGGACTGAGACAAAAGCCTACCAAGGGCCTGCAGAGAGCCACAGCGGGGCCCGATTGGTCGGCCCTGTCCCCGCCCCTCCCGCCTCCTGACGGACTGACACTGGAGCCTACCAGAAGCGCGCAGGGAGCCGCAGCGGGCGCCGATTGGGCGGGGCTGCCGCGCCTTGGGTACTTAAGTCTCCCGCGGGCTCTCTCCGGGCAGGACTCCACGACTCCTTATGCTGGCGATAGTTGTTCACTCACGGAGGGTCAACCCCAGGCCCAGGGTCGGCGCAGAGCTGGGCCCGAGAGTAGGTTACGTTCAGGAGAAAAAGTACAAACGGACCCCGCCGGTCTAAAGGGTGCTTGTGCTTAGTCGCTCAGTCGTGTCGGACTCTGCGACCCCGTGGAGTGAAGCCCACAGGGCTCCTTTGTCCGTGGGATTCTCCAGGCAAGAATACTGGAGCGGGTTGCCGTGCCCTCCTCCTCCTTCGTGTCTACAGGGTAGGAAGACCTAAAGGGAGGCCTCCTTTCCGAGTAGTGAAGTGTCCTCTATCTAGCCGCGGCGACTGTTGCCAGACCTTACTGAAATGTAAGCTTCAAAATGGTTTAAATGGTGAATTTCACATTATGTGAATTTTACCACCAAACAAAACCAAATATACATACCTTTGGCCTACAGACACACAAGTGGAAACATTTAGAAAGGAGGCCACAGTCTTGACCAGAACAAAAGTCCCCGTCGGGAGGGGCAGGGCACTGCCTCTGAGTGTGCGACCCCAGGACAGGACCCCAGGACAGCGTTTCTTATCTGCTGAAGGAGGGGACAATTCGGATTCTCTCCTGTGGGACACAGCTTTCTAAAGACCTGAGAACCAGGTCTCCTCCGACACCAGCATGGGGGAAAGGGGACAGCTCTCCCCATCTTTCAGGAAGGGACAGGCACGATTCCTTTGGCAGGTCACGCAGCACACTGGGCACCCCCGCTCCAGGGGGAGCATCGGAAGCCAAGCAAAGTGCCCAAGGACGGAGTGAACGAAACCAGGCAGGCTGTGAAGCCACGTCATGTAAATGATCCACACGGCGTCCAGAAGTACTCTCATCATGCCGCACAAATCATGACTTGGAGTTGGAATTCCCCAGTCCCAAACAGCACAGCCCTGCGTGCAGCAGCGAGGCCGCCCTGCGTCCAGTACGAGTTCTGTGAACCTCGAGGCTGAGTTTGCCGCTCCCCCGGCGGCTCAGGCAGTAAAGAAGCTGCCTGCAATGCGGGAGACCTGGGTTCAATCTCCAGGTCAAGAAGGTCCCCTGGAAGAGGACATAGCAACCCGCACCAGTTTTCTTGCCTGGAGAATCCCATGGACAGAGGAGCCTGTCGGGCTACAGTCCATGGGGTTGCGGACAGTGGGACGGGACTGAATAACTAACATTTGCCACAAGCATCCCTGCCCCCCCCCACCCTGTCCCCTCCTATGGGTTCCATGAGCCTTTCTCTCAAGGTTCATAATTCATGGTGCTCTCAGGGTAAGGAGGTCTCTTCTCCTAGGGTCTGGGGGGCCGAGGCTGTCATGGGAACCCATGGGCAGCAAAGAAGGGAGGGGGTTCCCCACAGCAGCACCCCTCTTTCTTCAGGGTAAAGTCTGGAAGTCGTTCACCTGCCTCTGCAGTGCGTCCCCAGGGAGACTCAGACCTCACTTGCCCTTCCAGCATTGCGACAGCACAGAGGCGCTGAGCTCAGGGCCCCATCAGCCCACCCTGCCTCCCAAGGAGGCTTCCTGGACGGAAGTCCCGCTTCCCCAGAAGGCGGCTGCCTGCAGCCCTTGGCACTGACAGGCCTGAGCTAATCTTGAAGGTCCTGGAGAGGCTTCCAGCATGAGAATGCTTTCATATCTTTCAAACTGCCAGTTCAGAGGGTCTCTGTGCATACACTGATCGATATACACTGACAGTGTGTGTGTGTGTGCGCGTGCGTGGTTCTGGCATCAGGCCCTGGAGAGACCTGGGAGACGGAGCCTTGACCGGGAGGGGCTGCTGACGAGAGGCAGCCAGCCCACACTGCCACCAGCTCAGAAGGTGGCACCTCCGTCCTGGCAGGCTGGGAAGGGATGACTCACTCTGGTCGTCGGGCGATGCAGGGGATTCCCACACAGGTTCCTTCCTGCCAAAAAGAAAGTAAAACTCAGCCTCTGAGGCAGCCATCCGGGAGGTGGCCGGGACAGCCCCAGCAGACCCTGCTGGGACCTGCGTCATCTGCCTGCTCCCTGAGGGCTGGGGCCTGGGGCCTCTGTCCGGCACCTCGGTGCCCCCCAGAGAGGCGTGGGCCCAGCTACAGACCCGGGTCGATGCTGCCGTGGCTCCTGGCTTTTCTCAGCTCTCCCGAGCAGGCAGGACAGGCCCCACCCACCATTCACTGGGCCTGCAGACCCCAGGCTGGGTGCTACCGCCGCCTCCCACTCTGCCCGAGGCCCCCTCCTCGGCCCCTGGCGCCTGCTCGGCCGCCTGGGCTTTCCTCTCCCAGGCCCCCATCAGCGCCCCAGGACACTTCCTAATGCCCAGGGCACCTCCACTCCTCACTGGCACGGCCGGTGCCCTTGGACATCTCACCTCCCGTCCTTTATGCCCAGGCCTCTGGGAGAACAGCACTCAGCCCTGAGGCAGGAGGGTCAACATGGGACCCCACTTGGGGCCCTGGATGTGGGCTGTCCCCCGTGCCTGAAGCTGTCCCCGGAGCAGAAGCCGGAGCTGGTAGAGCTAGCCTCCTGACACAACCCACTGCCTGTCCTGAGAGCTCGGCCCTGAAGCCCCCCCAACCCCCGAGCTGCAGCTTCCGAAAGGAGCTGGTTTCACTCTCACTGTGTAGTCGTCACCTGATGGAGGGGGTTCCAGAAAGGCCAGCCTCCAGTCCTGCCCAGAATTCCCCTGCCCCAGCGCCAGCCACAAGGGGCTCCCCCGCCCCCTGGTCTGGAAGCACACTGCCCACGCTGTCCCTCCTCCAGAAAAGGAGAAAGAAGGGGGTGGTGAGGTCCAGCAGCTGACTTCACAGCAGGCAGTCTGGGAGCAGGGCCACCCACGCCCGGCGCAGACGAGGTGCAGAGCACGGAGGTGACAGTGTGTGCAGCGTCCTCCGTAAGCCGAGGTGGTAGAGAAGGGGCTCCATGTCCGTTTGTATTTTGTATTCTCCGCAGACTTGGGAAGGATGCAGGAGGAAGTAATTGACATTCTGGGAGGCATGGAGGGGCCAATTTCTCTGAACACCCACCGTTTTTAAACCACTTTATGGTACCACCTATTCAAAAACATTTGGTTTTAAACAACAGAAGGTCATTTTGGAAGCTCTGGAAAACACATAAAATTACCAAGAAGGCAAAGATCACCCCAAATTCCCCCACTTAGAGACAAGCTCTGCCCAGACTCCCCACTCAACACCCAACGCCCTTCAGCCAATCTTACAAAATGGACCCCACTCCATATGCAGAACCGCAGACCTGGGAGACAACTTCACATTCAAAATCACAGGCGCCGGGGCCGCCCTAACCATCCCTGGCCTCGGATCACCAGGCCAATCTGGCCCCAGGGCCTTTGCGCCAGCCCACAGGTGGCTGGGACGAGCTACCTTCCTCCCCAGGTGCTGGACACAGCCTGGGCCCTCTAGGGTCTCAAGATAGAGAAGGTCTCTCTCCTGGTTGCCCTGTGTTAAGTTGGCCCTTCCCCCACGCCTGGTGGGACTAGCCTGGCGTGCTTCTGTCCTCCCTCGGATGTGGGTCCCTGGAGGGCAGCGGCCCCTTCGGGCTCA